CACAAAGGCAGCCCTTCGCAAAGGGTCAAAAAATGATGTAGGGAAGATAAAAGCGTCCACCGCTTTGATATATAAGAACTTCATGAATCAGCAAAGCCATGTAAAAAAGACTATGAAATAGAGACTACGAAGCATACCCTTGTGCTTTTTCAACACCAACTTGGAGTTATCGGAGATTGGAGTGGTTTCTTGCATTTCTCCTTCAGGATCAGAGGCAGTTTCTAATGAAATCAAGCCATATTTACTATAGCCATCACCATAGAAACATGCCAGCTGGCAAACAAGTTAGTATGGCTACCAAAGTTACAAACTGACAATTACAGCATGAAACAGAGATGCTGAGGGTATACGTGAAGTGTAGAGAATGCACAATGGAATAATAGTCACCTTGATCTGAAGGAGCTTCTACAACCTCAAAAGGCTCGCCTTCTACAAGATAATCCCCATCATCCATGACACCCGGACCCCAATCTGGAGAGTTGTGTTCAGGGGAATTGCAAGGGCTCATTACCGCCCGAGGCTAAAGCAAACGAAATCTACAACAATACCCATCTAAGACAAGGAATATGCTATAACGAGACAAGGCATTACCCACTTCAATTGCAAAACATATGCGGACGAGAAATTGAGAAAAACAAGAGCGTAAGCATACACGGCATAACTAAAAACAAAGATAGGTGATTTCAGACTCACATTTATGGGGCAAGCACGAAACCAAGGAGTAAGGCCGAAGAACTCAATAAAAATGGAAGAAATTCGTAGAAACAACAAAAGTACAATATAGAGTAGAATATGCAAAGGCTAAAATGTGTTACTTGTTGAATGCAAGGCCAAAAATAGAAACTTAAAAAGCGAATAATAAATGTAATCGATAAAATTTAATACATATAAAGAGGGGCAATTTTTTGTATTATATGATAGCTAAAGCTTGCAATTTACAATTTTACATATATTTTGAACCATTCCCAAAATCATCCAAAATAAGTGGATTCAACAAGTTCCTACTTAAGCTACATGAGACACTCCACATTTATCTTTTGTTGAACATTACATTCACCGCCTCGTTTGATAGTAGGGTTGGGGTGTTCTTCGTTTGAGTGTGTGGTTATTCAGCCTTCTATCAGTGTCTTAAGAGGTTGGTTTACTTTGTACTGATGTCGCTATGACATTGCTGATTTGTTACTGCTACATACATTGAATATCCCGGTATATTGTCGACTTCGCACTGTTGATGGAGCTCTCCCAGAGTCTTTCTAAATCGCTTCATACATTTCGATCCGTCAGCTTATGGAGCTAACGGTCGGCAAGTTTGAGGCTTTTTCGTGGTAACCCTGCTTCCTTTTTTCAATCCGTTTTTCCCAACTCTATTATGGTTCTGCGACGCTTCGGCATATGATTCGTGGTTTCGATTTTAGTAGATCAATG